CCCCCTCCCCCCCCTTTCATCGACCTCCTCCCTTCTTTTTGGGGTGGGATCCCCCATTTTTGGGGTTTTTTTTCTTCCCCCTCCCCTCCAGGCTCTCAGCGGGGCTCCTGCGCCAGGCCACCTACACCACCACCCGCCTGGGCATCTACAGCGTCCTCCTGGAGCGTTTCGGGGGTCCCGACGGGACCCCCCCCCCGTTCGTGGCCAAGGCGGCCATGGGGATGACGGCGGGGGCGGCGGGGGCCTTCGTGGGGACCCCGGCCGAGGTGGCCCTGATCCGCATGACGGCCGATGGCAGGTCGGGACCCCCCTCTTTTTTAATCTTCTTCCCTCCCCTCCACGAATTTAGGTTTTTTTTTTTAACCAAAATGTCGGTTTTTTGCCCCAAAATCAATCCACCCCCACAGGCTGCCCCCCGGCGAGCGCCGCGGGTACCGCAACGTCTTCGACGCCCTCGTGAGGATGGCGAGGGAGGAGGGGGTGCTCACGCTCTGGAGGGTACAGAGACCCCTCCCCAAAATCCAAAATCCAAAATCCATCCCCTCCTTCCCCCCCCTCCCCCAAAATTCCCCTCCTGCTCCGTATCCCCCTCCCCCCTCCCCCTCCGTACCCCCACCCCCCTTTTCACCCGGGGGGGGGTGTGTGGTGGTCTCAGGGTTTTTTGGGGGGGTGCAGGGGGTCCCCCTGAAACGCCCCCCACCCCAGGGGGTCCCCCTAAAACACCCTCCGCCCTGTGTGTCCTCCCCCCCCCAATTAGGGCTGTGGGGACGCCCCACTCAGGTGGGATGTCTGGGTGGGGAGATGGGGGTAAAGGGGGGGGGTTTGAGGATTTTGGGGGTGCAGGGGGTCCCCCTAAAACACCCTCCACCCCAGGGGGACCCCCTAAAACACCCCCCACCCACCACCCCCCCAATTAGGGCTGTGGGGATGCCCCACTCAGGTGGGATGTCTGGGTGGGGAGATGGGGGTAAAGGGGGGGGGGTTGAGGATTTTGGGGGTGCAGGGGGTCCCCCTGAAACACCCCCCAACCCAGGGGGTCCCCCTGAAACATCCCCCACCCCAGGGGGTCCCCCTAAAACACCCACCACCCACCACCCCCCCCAATTAGGGCTGTGGGGACGCCCCACTCAGGTGGGATGTCTGGGTGGGGAGAAGGGGGTAAGGGGGGGGGTTTTGGGGGTGCAGGGGGGTCTCCCCTCAACCCCCCCTCCCCATCCCCCCCCTCCCCCCAGGGCTGCATCCCCACCATGGCCCGCGCCGTGGTCGTCAACGCCGCCCAACTCGCCTCCTACTCCCAATCCAAGCAATTCCTGCTCGACTCCGGTGAGTCCAGCCCCATTTTTTGCATCCCCTTCCCCCCCCAAAATCCTGCCAAACCCTTTTTGACGTTTTTTGGGGTGTCCTTTTTCCCCCCAGGGCATTTCCGTGACGACATCCTGTGCCACTTCTGCGCCAGCATGATCAGCGGGCTGGTGACCACGGCCGCCTCCATGCCCGTCGACATCGTCAAGACCCGGTGGGTTCCTCTCTTTTTAGGGGGTTCCCCCCCCTCAAAAATTCCAGATTTTTGGAGGAAGAGAAGGGGGGGGGTTCAGCCCCCGAAATCCACCTGTTTTGTTTCACGATCCCCCCCAAAATGATTCCGGCAGGATCCAGAACATGCGGACGATCGACGGCAAACCCGAGTACCGCAACGGGCTGGTGAGCTTTGGGGGGGTGGGGTGGGGTGGGGTGGGGAGGGTCTCCCTCACTTTTTTTGGGGGGGTTTATGTGTCATTTTTGGGTGTGGTTGGTCCCTGATACTTTAAAGGGGTTCCCTTTCGAGTTGGGGAGGGACTTTCCCATCATTTTGGGGGGTATTTCCTGTCCCAGTTTGGGCTCATTTTTTCAGGAGATCCCCATCATTTTGGGGGGTATTTCCTGTCCCAGTTTGGGCTCATTTTTGGAGAAGATCCCCATCATTTTGGGGTGTGGTTGATCCCTGATATTTTAAAGGGGTTCCCTTTCGAGTTGGGGGAGAACTTTCCCATCATTTTGGGGGTGTTTCCTGTCCCAGTTTGGGCTCGTTTTTTGAGAAGATCCCCATCATTTTGGGGTGTGGTTGGTCCCTGATATTTTAAAGGGGTTCCCTTTCGAGTTGGGGAGGAACTTTCCCATAATTTTGGGGGTCTTTCTTGTCTCAGTTCAGGCTCATTTTTTGAGGAGATCCCCATCATTTTGGGGGGTGTTTCCTGTCCCAGTTTGGGCTCATTTTTTGAGGAGATCCCCATCATTTTGGGGGGGTGTTTCCTGTCCCAGTTTGGCCTCATTTTTTCAGGAGACCCCCATCACTTTGGGGGTGTGTCCAATCTACCATTTCCAAGGGGAGTCTCTCCCATCACACCTGGCAGACGGGGAGGATGAGGTGGGGGGTGGATGGAGGATTCTCTATCAATTTTAGATTTTTTTTTCTCATCCTAATTTTGGGGTTTGGGTGTTTTTTTGCCCCCCTGGCAGGACGTGCTGGTGAAGGTGGTGCGGTACGAGGGTTTCTTCAGCCTCTGGAAGGGCTTCACCCCTTACTACGCCCGCCTGGGCCCCCACACCGTGCTCACCTTCATCTTCCTCGAGCAGATGAACAAGTGGTACCAGCGGCTCTTCCTCAGCGCCTGAAGCCCCCCCCCACCCGGGGGGGGGTGAAATTTGGGGGAGGGGCATCTCAAACCCTCCCCCCTCCCCCTCCCTTTTATCCCTCCCACCCTGGGGGGGGATGGGGGGGGAAATTGGGGGCATCTCAACCCCCCCTTCCCTCCCTTTTATCCCCCCTGCCCTGATGGGGGTGGGAATTTGGGGAGGGGGATCTCAACCCCCCCC